ATAAACTCAAGCATAAGTCTAACTTATAATTTTAAAACCATGTCGACCTCTTTAATCGTCTTGCAACTATGAAAATTGAATCCAGTTAGATTGTTGAATTCAGTTAGATTGTAATAAATCGTGTTACTGTTTGAATTTAATTTTTTATTTTTTCTAAACCAAAATCCTGGATTCGCCACTACCTATATATATCACATAATTACCGAACCTGAGTTGTAGTGGCAACCCAGATAGAAAGTAATAATATGGATTGGTTATTTTGTAGGCATGGAGTAAGACAACCAAAGAACCCATGGACAGATGGTCCCGAATTTATCACACAATGTCCTATTCGACCGGGAGGGAAGTTTAGCCAAAAGATTATATTTTCAACAGAGGAAGGAACCCTATGGTGGCATGCTCATAGCGACTGGTCCCGTGCCACGGTCCATGGGGCTATCGTGGTCTATCCCAAGAATGGCACAAGCTACCCCTTTCCTAAGCCTTATGCTGAAGTGCCCATCATATTAGGTATGATCTTGATAAATTTATATTTAATTTTAAATATATATATATATATATATAAGACCCCCAAAAAATATCCATTTTAAGGGCAAATAGGCTTTCAATAAATCTGAAAGCAATTCGATGTAACCTAAAAATAGAGACATGTATGAGGAGGTCGACCTCATAGTAGCTTTGTCATTGTAGTAATAATAATGCTTTCCAGATGGGGCTATCGTTGTCCTTGGTTTTTGCTATAACTTATGTTTGGGAAGGTGGGTTTGTGGATTTTTTAGTTAAAATAGTCATAAAAAATAAAATAGACTTTTTAGTTTAATAAGACAAAATATCATATCTAATCCATAATCATTAAATTCTTTCTCTCACAAAAAAATAAAATAAAAAATTAAAAACCCTTTCCAAACCAGACTTTTTAGTCCTAGGTTAAAATAATTAAAAAAAATCAAAAAGTCAATTCAATTCCCAAACAAAGCCATAGAACTCAATCATACCCTTCCTCTTTCTATCTATAAAAATTAAAAAATTTCTATCTATAAAAAATTTATTAAAAAATTAAAAAGGAAAACCCTCCTTTTCTGACTTTGTATTGAAATTGGTGGGACGTCTCATTTACTGTTGAAATGCAGGAGAGTGGTGGAAGCAAGATATCATGCAGCTTCTAGATACCTTCCTTAAAACGGGAGGAGACCCAAATACCTCTGATGCTTACACTATAAATGGTCAACCTGGTGATCTCTACCCTTGCTCTAAATCAGGTTTCATTCTACTAATTTTTCTTCTTGAAATTTCTTTTCATTTATTCTCTGTGAAATTTATAATTTTTTATTTGATTACAATATCATGTTATTTTAATGCTTGTTGTGTTTAAATAATCAAGATACATAAAATTAGTATATCAGTCATACAATATATATGGTTTAAATAATTATATACAAATAAAAAATATATAATTTTTATATATAATGACTTATGGGCCATTGACTGAAAAATAAAATAATCATATTATTCTTGTGAGATTTTATTTATGAATAGAAATTTCATATGGTTTTTGAGATATTTCACACGCACAAAATTCTTTTCATCCAATCAAATTTCTAGAAATGACGTGCACTCAATTTAAATCAAAATTTAATGCGTAGAAAAAAGTTTTGATTTCAACCAATCAAATTTCTTGAAATGATGTGCACTCAATTTAAATAAGAATAAAGCTTGAGACCCCACTCCAGTGACCCAAATGTCACGTGATTGGAAGGAAAAAAAAAAAAAAAATTGTTTTGGTCTACTGAGGGTGCTGGGGGTCCCTAACACCACTGTTTAAATAATGCGTAGAAAAAAGTTTTGATCGGAATGAAAAATAAATCAATAAGAGTAATTTTACAGGCAGTTTTTTTTTTTTTAATTCTTATTCCGCACATAATTCTTTAACTAATTGTAAAAAATTGAATAGTGTTACATTAATTCAAAAATTAGATTTATTTTTTAAATCTAATGATGTGACATTTTATTAAAATACTTAAGCCAATCTTTTTTTTAACACATTATTAAATTTAGAAATTTAGAAAGTGAATTTAAAAAATAAATTTCTGTACTATTTTTCTAAAAAGTTTGTTACATTGTCATGTATTAAAGTGAACTCTAACCTTAAAAACACCTAAAATAATTATTTGTTTATTTTTATCAAAAAAAAAGCATTTTTGATACAAACGACATTTAACTTTCTATGTGCAGATACATTCAAGCTGATGGTAGATCATGGCAAAACCTATCTCCTCCGCATGATCAACGCTGCCATGAGCGACATTCTCTTTTTCTCCATCGCAAATCATCAATTGACAGTCGTTGGAACGGATGCTAGCTACACAAAGCCATTCAAAACCGATTACATAACTATATCCCCTGGACAAACCATGGATGTCTTGTTAGAAGCTAACCAACCATTAGGTCAATATTACATGGCAGCTAGGGTTTTTTCTAGTTTTAATATTGTAACATTCGATAGCACCACCACCACCGCCATCGTACACTACAATGCAAACTACACTTCACCACCACCACCACCTTCATTTCCTCAAAACCTTCCCTATTACAATGACACAAATGCATCGTCTACCTATGCGCGCGGTTTGAGAAGTTTAGACAGTCCTGATCATCCGATCAATGTACCATTAAACATGTCGACAAAATTAATTTTCACCATATCGGTCAATGCCATCCCATGTGCTAATGACTCTTGTGCCGGTCCGAATGGAACCCGCCTCTCAGCAAGCATGAACAACATAAGTTTCGTGAATCCCTCCATTGACATACTTCAAGCTTATTATAATCACATCAACGGTGTCTATGAAGATCGGTTTCCTAATGTTCCACCATTGATATTCAATTTTACGGCCGATTATCTTCCTTTGGAGCTTGAGACTCCACAGAAGGGGACAGAGGTGAAAGTACTGGAATATAACTCAACGGTGGAGCTTGTTTTCCAAGGAACAAACTTGGTTGCAGGGACAGAGCATCCCATGCATTTGCATGGATACAGTTTTTATGTGGTTGGGTGGGGGTCTGGTAATTTTGACAAAGATAAGGACCCTTTAGGGTATAATTTAGTGGACCCTCCGCTGCAAAATACCATTACTGTCCCTAGGAATGGTTGGGCTGCCATAAGATTCAAGGCCGACAACCCAGGTAACGTGACATTTTATTAAAACTGTCATTTCTCATATTATTAATGATTTTTCCAAACCAATATTATATGTTGAAATTTCATCAAAATAATGTCGTAGTGATTTTTTTAAAATAATAAATTTTAATGAATTTTTTATTAAAATAATTCAATACAAATAAGTTGTATTATTTTGTATAGATTTTTTTTTTTTCTATATCATTACTCTATATGTTAAAATAATATATATTTGACACCCATCATTATATTATTTTTTGAGTAATGTTATAGGATTTGTTTTTTTTTCCCTTTCACAAACTTTGTTTACAAATTGATGTGGCGTACTCAACGTCTTAATATTTGAAATGAATCAAATAGAATTAAATAATAGAAACAACTCATTAGTTTGAAATTTAAGTTTGTAATGTATTGCATTTTTTCTTTATTTTTTTAATATGATAGATCCTTAATGTACAAAATTATTATTGTTTACATGAAAAATATAAAAAAAAAATAATAATAATAATAATAAAATTTATCTAATTATGCACAGTACCGGTCTTTGTTATGAGTTGATTGTTATAGGCACTAACCAAAAACGTTTGATTACTTCATCCTTTACGGTTGAGTTGTGAACACTTTTGGATATATATATATTTTTTATCGGCAAATTCTTTTTTTACTATTACTAAAAATAAGGATTACAAACTGTCCTGGTACAAGTGCATCATAGAAAACTTTTGGATATAAGCAAAGTGCAACCTCATAGGCATATTTTTAATGTGAAAAATATAATTTGATTATAAAATCAGATATAACCATCCCTCACATAGAATTCACATATTTGATGGGACTAACTCTATGTGAGAAGATTATGATTAAATTTTGTACACGTAAAATAATTATTTTAATATTTGATACATCTTGTTTTTTGACAGGAGTGTGGCTTATGCATTGTCATTTAGAGCGACACCTAAGTTGGGGAATGGATATGTCATTCATTGTTAAAAATGGCAAAAACCCAGAAGAAAAACTGCTGCCTCCACCTCCAGACATGCCATCATGTTATTGAAGCTGCAACATCATCCTTACTATTTGCAAAATTGCTACAATTTGGCAAATTTATTAGTGTTATTAGTTTTACTATGATTCAACCTGTTATTTGTCTCTAAAATTGAATAATACGCATGTGCACATGTACGCCATGTTGGATACTTAAGATTCCATATCATTCATTTGTGGTGTCCATTTCAATTTAATTTGTTGTTATATTAATAAAATTCAACTTTTTAGTTTGAAATTAAAAGGATGTCTCCTGGTTTGAATTGAGCAGATGACTATATTCTGGAAATATACCATGCAGGGGTGAGGGGCCGGCAAAAACAAGTTAATTTTACTTTAAGAATGATGGTGTTAATAAAAATGAGAAATAAAATGTTATATTATAGATAATGTTTCATAAGTGACGAGAGTGAAAAATATAAAAACGAGATTAAAGAAGTTAAAATGAAAATTGAGTTTAATGTTAAAAAAAAAAAAAATTGTATATATTATACACATAAATATATTTAATAAATATAATCAGAGTAGAGGCGAGATAAAACAGGCAAGGAGACAAAAACCTGTCCCCAACCCATTTTCTCAACGAAGGGGAAGAAAATCCATGTGGGACGGGAGATGTGGGGCAGTGCGAGGCGGGGAGAAATTAGTATCCCCAAATCTATTTAGGTCAGGCCCATGGTTAGTTGTGTCTTGTGTATAAATTTTCCTCCCATGTCATTCAAATTTAGTTTTGGGTACAAAATTTTTATTTGCAAATTATTTTCCTAAATAGAAATAATAAAAATAAATAAATAACTAGGTGCATAAAATAGAGACAACGTCCACATTTCTGTACACCTGCATTTTGTTTCCACTACCCACTGGTTGTTTAGAAGAGAAATGCTATATATTAAAACCAAGTTGAATACCCCAATCCATATAGACATACAAAAACATCAATCTAATCCAAATCTATCCAACATTAATGCCATTCCATTTCAACGTGGATACCAAACATAATCCAGAACAATCTCAGTCAATTCCCAACCTCAACAGCCTCGAAACCCCTCTCAATCGACGCCTTGACAGCATCCACCACCAGCTGAGTCTTCCTACTCATGGTCGGCCACTTCTTCTCCGGCTTCAAACCATTTCCTCTAATACCCTTAACTAAACAAGCCAACTCTGTCACCATGAGCGCTTCCTGTGGAAGATCTGTCGTCACAGTGTGCTCATCACTAGCTGCATAAAACTTGGCTTCACTCTCTCCGATTAACGGTCTGACAAAGTCATCAACGTGCAAATTTCCTTCTGTTCCAGTAGCGGTTAATTCCATGGCTAATTTGGTGAGGAAAGAGCAGTGGAACGTTGCTACTTTCCCATCAGCCCAATTTAAGGAAGCGCCACACGATAGAATCACCCCTGCTTGATTAAGTTCAGTTTTCTCGGGCAACGCTGTCGTGCTTTTAGGGAGCTCGTAGTCAGCAGCCCAGAGGATTGCCCGGATGCAGTACCACCCTGCATCGCCAAGAGCGCCAAGAGCGTCAAGATCTGGCTTTACACGGATGTTGTTGTTGAGAAAGTCAGGGCCAGCATCGAAGGTAAAGATGCTGTGAATCTGTGGGAATCACAAGCAAAGATTAAGCAGTTTCGCTATGTGCAGCTCACAAGAAGTCTCTATTCTGTACATTTTCTGTGTACAAATTCTATGAACCGTGTTTGTTTTTCTTTTTGAAAGTTGGTGTTTCCACACAAACTAGGGCACATAAAGCACTAACAAGAAATCAACCATTTCATTCTCATGCATTTAAAAGAAGAGGCTCTTATATATCACCAGATGAATTTCAAAGGTTTTATTCCCTCATCTCTTAAATGAAATTATGGTGGATATTATTTGAGATTAGGCTTTCTTATGTGAATCCATGTGAAATTTATCACATGATAAATATCGCTTTACTTAAAAGGTAAGTAGACAAAAAAATTAAATCACATTTCAGGGAACACCAAGAGTTGAGTAAAGAAAATTGGAGAACCGCCAAGATCCAAAAGTTGATTCTTATCAACCAAAAACTCAAACATACTACTCTGCAACAATTTCCCCACACACTATTACAATAATATTCTCCTCATAAAAAAAAATATTAATCTTATGAAAAAAAATTCAAAGAAAATATGATGCTTTATATACAACAATACCCAAGTCTCAATTGTGGGCAATAGTCTGGTACAATTTATTATTTGCATTTTTTTTTTTGTCTTATTTAGATTTTCTAAATAAAATTCAAATTTTGTACTAGAGACAAGCTATGAAGCATGGAAATCTCTCCGAAGACAGCGTATGGGCATCCAACACATGTCAGACACGGACACACGTCGGACATGTGATGGACAGTCTATGAGAGGTGTCCCCTTCTTTTTTTTGAATTTTTTGCAATTGGACATTTTCGGGACACAATTCTGAACAAAACCCTAACCTGTTGGTCGACAAAGAGAGAGAGAAGAGAAAGAAGGTGAAGAAGAACCTGAACATGTTGAGGCTCAAAAGGGTGAAGAACCAATTGAAGCCATAGATCAAGGTATGTCCTCCTTCGTTCTTCTTATTTGCTTCGCTTTTCTTCTTCTTTCATCACTTTGAAGGTCGTCTCTCTCTCTCTCTCTTTGTGTGCTTTTTGTCTCTCTCTGTCGCAATTCGTCTCGTAGATCATCTCTCTTTGTCTCTCGCAGATCGTCTCTCTCTCTCTCTCTCTTTCTCGCTTTTTGTTTATTTTTTTTTCTTTTTCTTCTTAGATTGAAAATACTTTTTTGTATAACAAAAACCTTACTCTTTTTTTTATGTATACTTGAAACCCTCTTTTAATTTTTTCTATTTTTTATTTTTTAATTTTTTTTTTCAATTTTAGAACATATAATAAATAAATATTAAACGTGTCTCCAGCATGTTGTGTCCCCTATTTTTCAAAAATTTACATATTTGCGTGTCCGTGTTGTGCTCGTGTCCATGCTTCATAAGAGACACGTAGGGATGGCAATTTGAAACCGGCCTAACGGGGACCCGACCCCCCGACCCTGATCAGAATGGTTTTTTCCTGAAAAATATCCCCGTGGGGACGGGGATGGTATTTGAAATTAAATCCCCGATTAGCTTCGGGCCGGGGACGGGAATAGCTTTCACAGCCCCGTCCCCGTCCCCGTCCCCGTCCCCGGTTTTCTCCCCGAAATGAAATTACTATAATACCCCTATATATATATATATATATACACGGCCTCACTCACACCGTGTGTTAAAAGCCTTGGTCACACGGCCCCAGCGTTAGTCACACGGCCTCTCAAAAAACAGACTCATTCACTCACACGGCCTCTCATCTCTCTCTCTCTCTCTCTAAGAGCCTCCCTCCTCCGCCACTGAAACACTGTCCTCTCTTTCACCGCCGCCGCCGATCTCCCTCTCCGCTGTCCTCGTCTCCCTCATCCGTCGCTAACACGCTGTCCTCCTCCGCCGCTGACACGCTGTCCTCCATCCTCTCTTTTACCGCCGGCGCCGATCTCCCTCTCTGTTGTCCTCCTCTCCCTCCTCCTCCGCTGTCCTCAGTCTCCCTCCTCCTATTCCCGTTGAACACAGATCTGCAAACTCAGATCTCAACCATCAACGCTAGATCCTCTCATTCGGCGATCTCTCTCTCTCTCTCTCTCTCTCTTTATATATATTTGTTGTTGTTGTTGTTGTTGTGTGTGTGTGATCTGAACAGTTGTTGTTGTTGAACAGATCTGTGTTTTTCCATTATACATATTTTTTTTTTTTTTGGTTGTTTGTTTAACAGATCTGCCGGGGATGTTTCGGGGTCGGGGAAACCCAATCCCCGTTAGGGGTCGGGGGTGGGAGAGGTGATGGGTTCCCCGCCGAGGATCGGGGGCGGGGGCGGGGATTTTTCTACCTTCGAGGATCGGGGACAGGAAGTGTCATCCCCGGCCCCGCCCCGGCCCGTTGCCATTCCTAGAGACACATCATCATGTTCTAATGACACTCATAAATATTTGCAATTGTGCTAGATGCACAAAAGGAATCAAACACAAAATCCATACATAGACTTTAGAGACATCAAGAGCATGTTTGGTTTGTCTCTCAAAACATGTTTTCGGAGAAAAAAATTCCACGAACATGTTTGGTTGAAAAAATTCCAAAAACATAGTTATTAGTTCCCAATTCCACCTAAGTGTGCCCCATAGCCATAATGTTTTTTTTTTTTTTTCCTTTTTTGCTGACTGAGGCTTCGTTTGAGAAGCCAAAAGTCAGGTTTTTTTGACTATTTTAGTCACAAAAAACAAAATAAGCTTTTTAACCTAATACAACAAAACATCACATCCAACTTATAATTATTACATTTTTTCTCTCACAAAAAAGTTAAAAAAGTCAAAAGTCCTTCTAAACGAGACTTTTTGGCTCAAGTTAAAATAACTAAAAAAAACTAAAAAATTAAAAAGTCAATTCATTTTCCAAATGAATAGACAATACATGGGCAGCTCTACATACGTTTGTGTGGGCTCAGTTCATATCAGTAGATTTTGAAAAAAATCATTAAAAATTATATATATAATTAAGCAAGATTAAATTTACTCTAATTAGCTTAGAGTAATTAATAAATCGTTTAGAAAGAAAAATCAATCATTTTTATAGTCGTCCAAGTCCATCCCACTACAATCGGCTGTTGAATCACTTCATTCCATGAGTAATTCTAACTATACTTAGGCATAGTTTGGGAAGTTGATTTTGATGGGTTAGGAGTTAAAATAGTCACAAAAAATAAAATATATTTTAACTATAAAAAACAAAACATCAAATTCAACTCATAATCATTACACTCTTCCCTCACAAAAAAAGTTAAAAAAGTCAAAAAGTCAAAAAACTCTTCCCAAACCAGACTTTTTAGCCCCAGACTAAAATAACTAAAAAGTCAAAAAACCAAAAATAACCCACTTCTGAAACAGAGGCTAACAATTTTATTAAAAATACAATAGGCGTGATTGGTTCTTAAAAAAGAAAATGATATTTAAACGTTTAATAATAGTGAGACATGTATATTTTTAATAAAATTATTAGCAAGACATGATATTTAAACATCTAATAAAGTATAATATGAGACTGATTAAAAATTTAAATAGCAAAAAAAAAAAACCCAAAATCACATATTTTAACACACACAAAATAGGAGAATAAGAATGATTGAGACTTTTTTTTTAAAACCTCCATAATCTCTTGCATCACAATGGCGTGAACTCCACAAATATATGAGGGGATCTCGTGTATATATATATATATACTAGCGTATGCCCGTGCCTAAAGGCACGGTGTAAATAATTTTAAAGTAGATATTGTCACATGTAAGTTAGAACTAGTTTTTGGTGAAAAACGTATCTAAAAATCTATTTTATTACTTTTCTTAGATAAAATACATGAAATTGACGAAGTCAATGGTCAGAGAAATTTCACTGACCTTGACCTAGATTAAAAGTCAATGAAATATCTCTGACCTCGTACAATTTTGTTGAATTCAAACTAAAAAACTTAGTAAATTTTTACTAAGATATTCAAATTTTAATTAACTTTCAATTTTATAACTTTTAATCATTAATTGAAAATTTTCTTATGTTGAAAGTTGTGAAACTTCTTTTATATAATTGTGTTAATTAACTCACAAAAAAAATAAAAAATCACTATTAATTAAAACAATTTTATTTTGAAAATTAGCGAAATTTTATGGACTTAGTTTCACCTATGAGTCGTCAAAAAAATGTCGCCGGCAACTAATGGTGGTTACTAGCAATCAGAGGTGGTGGCCGAATGTGACAGTGGCAGTAGAAGGTGATAGAATAATGAAACTAAATTAAGGATAGTTTCATCCAAAAAATAGTTAGAGTCCTTAATATAACAAGTATATTTTAATTACGCTTAAACAAATACAAAACATTTTACAAAAATGCCTCAGACCCCCAGTGGAGGTCACTGGGGGTCGTGTGTGTTGCCCTCCCATTGGCCAAAAAAAAAAAACTGTTTTATTTTTTATTTTTTTTTATTTTTTATTTTCAGTGAATCATGGCCCGCCACCTCACTGGGGGTCGACCCCTAGTGGGGGTATTTAGCATGGTTGAACATTTTATAGGGAGCTGAATAAAAAATCCTCATTTTTGTTATCTATTATAACTTTGAAAAAATTACAATTCAGTATAAATTTCAAAAAAATAATTAAAAACTCATGAAAACATTTAAAATTTTAATTATTAACATTTATAAAATTTATTATTGATCTATAATCATTTGTTGAAAATACCACTAATATGATATTTCCCCTCCAACTTTCCAAGGGTATCAATTTGGATAAATGAAAGGATTTTCTTTGAGTATCACTCGATTTCCTTGCCAATATGGCATTGACATGTCATTATCACAAATCGATCTCTACAATTCATTTGTATAAGTTTCACCCATACAAATAGATTATAGAGATTGATTTGTGACATTGTCAAGATGCATGAAATAATTTGTCCTCAACTCCAACGGTTGGTTGATATAAAACCATTGTATAAATCAAGATGAACACAGCACTATTTTAATCGACAATAGTA